AAGCCGCGATAGTTCGCGTCAGTACAGTTCGAAAAAGATGCATCCGCGTCAGCTATTCCTTGGGCGCGTCAGTATTGCGACTGGCGTCCGCGATAGCACAACAAGTAAGAACAAAAGGTTCAAAGGGTTTAGGCCATAGCTCATTTGCAAGTCATTCCGCCAAACAGTTCCAACAGGGATTGGAGCCTTCTCTTGGCAGAATGGCGACATGTACCTTTGCGATTTCCAATTCAAAAATGACAAGCTACTGGACAGCTAATGCTGAGGCCTTGTCTGCTGCTGAAGAGCTGCGGCAGGTTGGGCTGGAATCCAGTCCATCCGGTTGCCCGAGGTGTCATGAGCTCGTGTCGTCAGGCGTTATTTGGGAACGCGAAACCTGCGCAACCAGCTCCGAAGCCGGCGCCCGCCCCGAAGATCTCTTTTGGCTTGCCAAAGAAGCCGCAGGCCTGAAGCCCTGAAGCTCATCTAGAATCTGTTTGCGTTTCTGCGATTTCTGGCATCTGCTCCTGGCCCGGGATTGGATGTGCAATGATGTGCAATGCATTGGGAGGTGCGTGGAGCCTTGAGCATCAGGGTCACATTGATGTGGTGCCAGATATCCCTTCGTATCCTTCGTGTAATTTCTGGGCGGATATGCCGACCTGAGTTCACAGGTCATGGACTGGAGAAGGCGCTCGACGGCGGAGACGAAGCCCTTGCAGCAGGTGCCCGCACATTGGGCTACGACAATAGGGATACGCACCAGCCAAATTCACAGAATGTTTTTGCCAGAACACTGGCATGGTGGCTGCGCGAGCCCCGGCATTGCAGCAGACTGATCCTGACGTGAAAACTGTTTTGTCTGCAAGGTTCCAGGCTCCGAATTTGCCTTTCGAGCGCATGCAGGATGGGGATGGTTGTGCTTTGGTGTGCGATGTTGACTCCCATACGTGTTCTCAAGCCCTTCTCGCTTGAAGAATGCTTCAAGAGCAGGGCGCCGGGGATTTCATGAAAACAAGTGGATCAGTTGTATGTTGAAGTGTTTAGCATGCGATCAGCAGGCGTTCTAGTTTGGCAAGATTTGGCAAGTATTGATAGGGGGGTCAGGGCCCGTCTTGGCATTGATCGGGCAGGTCCTTGGATCTCGCGGTCCAAAAGTGCCAACAGTCACGGGAGGGGCAAGGTCCTGGCGACAGACGCCTGTTCTTCTTCACGTTCCAAGAGTGCCCGAATGCAGTCGCAGTAGTGTGGTGAGTCGGGTTCTTATGTTCCAGCGGCACAGTCACGGAGATCGAGTACGTTGAGGTTCCTCGCTTTTGGCAGGTCGAGGTCGCTATGCTGACAAGCACCCTTGCACCTCATGTTCGAAGAGACAGTCAATGCTTGTACTTGTAGCTGTCGGATTCTGGTATCCCGCTCTTGTCATGCCTCGCACGTCGTATCTGCATTGCCTTGTATTGGGCGCGATAGTTCTCTTCGTGTCGTGTCTCGTGCCCACATGTCGCTTGTTTGTGTTGTGTCCGGTTGGGTCCGTGGCTCATGCTTGTATCAGCAAGTGAGCTTGGACAAACTTGGGAAAGGCTTTCAATTCTGCTAGGCGAGCTGGCTGCAGCTGTTGCAGCTGCACAAGCCCTGCACAATCCGCGAAACCGAGAGGCTCCTAGCTCATGTGGGGGGTCGGGCAAGTGGGCGCTTCTTGCAATGAGGGCTGGGAGCTTCTCCTGTTCGAGTGTGTTTTGCGCAGATTTCGCGAAAGATTGCTACCCTGCTGGAGCCATTGCCTTGGGACTGTTGTCAGCCGGCTTCCTTCCTATGAGATGTCGCAGATGTCGCTAAATTCAGGCAATGTCCTCCCATGTCTGACGATGCCTCTGACTTAATCCGTGGCCTTGCCACATCATCTTTTGTTGGAGAATTTCCTGTCAAATATCGATCCAAGGCTTTGACTGCGTTGCGGGCTCTTCCTTCTGATCAGGCTGGGAGGGGTCAACAGCTGTTAAAACAGTGATTGACCTTTGCAACATCTCCGGCAGGTTGTTCAGGTGCTTCAAACTCTAGCCAGCAGGCCGGTTCCATTCTGAGAACCATAAATTTCGATTAGACTTGAGGATGTTTCACGTCAGGCGCGGCGAGATTACAGATCCCTCAGTCTGGGCTTCCTTCTCAGCTTCAGAGAGCAAGCCTGTATGTACAGAGTTCATTGCTACGCGAGGTCAACCACGTGGTCAGTCGGCTTGCAGTAGCAGCCTTCAATACCGCGCAGGAGCATCTTTGTCTTTACGTTTCCGGTCGTGGCGTCCTTACTGGTATTCCAGCCCACGAGCAGGGGGTGCCTCTGCCGTCAACTATGGTGACAGAAATGCTGAACAGGCTGCATGCTTGGACTACCTGTGCGCACAAGCCTCAACCAAAGTCATTGCGTGTCCATAGGCATCTGCCGAAGTTGGCAACAGCTGCCAAGTCACTGCTGCTACAAATCCCAGAGGCAGGCAACGCCTGTAATTTGCACGCTTTCGAGGGTTCAGATGCTATCAGAGTGTCCCCGGCTTCCGTGATGGGGCCTGCATGTTTCAAGCTATTTCACATTATTGATATCGAGGGAGCGCGAATCGCATTGACGCTTGCCTGAGTTCACTTCGTCTGTTTGCCGAGTGCCTCGTGCAGGTGGAAGCCATCAAGATTATACAAGATCACCTCACCTATCGCCTGGTGCTTACCTTGCTCCTGGACCTGAGTGTATTTGGTTGTGGCCCGAGTGCTAAGAGCATGCAGGTGGCGATGCTTCGGACTCAATCTTCCAGGCAGCTACGACTCATCTGCAGCAAGGCTGAGAGCTCTGCTTGTCATGCTTTTGGGTTTTTTGTATGCAAGCTGGCAGGAATTGCTGCTGCTTCTGCTGCTTCTGCTTGCAGCGCGGTGTACCCGATGACCATGGATGCTTTCAGCATGGGCTGTGGAATGATGCCCGTTGGGGACTAATTTGCTCGCATTTGGAATGCCATTCTACCATGATCAACATGCCTTGCTGAGATGGCCATGCCCGGATGCTTTGGTTCGGCGCCAAGGATGCTCGCTTTTCTGAAAGCATTCTGATCTTGTAGCTGCGGTGGTTGGGCATGATGTTCAATGAAGGTGCTATGATGCCCGGCCAGATGGCTCCGATGGCAGGATCAGCACTTCCGCTGGGCTGGGATGGGTTGGCTTCTCCTGCATTGGCGCTATTGATATTGCATGTCAGGATGTGGCATGATGGGCTGCGCCTGGGGAGGTGCACCAAGAGAGCAGGAAGTCCATCATGGCAGCTGGCTTGAGTTTGAGGTGCAATGCCGTGTGCCACAAATGGCACCACGGAAGTTGCCACAGAAGCGGCCGGCACAGCTGCCCCTGAAGCAGCTGCGACTGCACCAGCGGCAGCTGCGCCAGCATTGGAGGACACCGATGCACCTGCTGCCAGAGCCCAAGTTTGGATCTCCTTTGGCCTCCTCTGGACCTGTCTGTGTGCAGCGTTTGCCCAGGAGGAGGCTGCTGCATTCACGCAGGACGCGGCAGATGCAGATGTGTCGGCTGAGGATGAGGACGCTTGAGGGCCTTTTTTCAAGCCTTCTGAAGCTGCTGATGCCCACCTGCAACAACTGCAAGAAATGCCATACATGCACAGCCAACGTAGAGCAGAGCCCGCCGCGCAGAACAAGGAAGCAAGGAAGATTTGAGGCAGTGTTTTCCATTGCGTATGCTTCGGGCTGTGAGTAGCATGGTACTCTTACGTTCACCTTTTCTGAGCGTCGTCAGGGTCCTAGAAAACAACAGGGTGAAAGGGTGCAGAAAGCACATTCTCTCCCACTGCCCGAAGGCTTTTGTCGGATTCGTCACTTGCTGAATGACAACGAATGACGTGTCTTTTGATTGATGCGACTAAGAGCGCACCTGACATTGAAAAGGATTGGATATTTAAAGCATGAGCACACAGCTAATCCAGTTGGCCAATATGCTAAGATAATCAATCCGAGCATTATCATGCAGCTTCAGACAAAGGAGCCATGGTCAATTCTGCTGACATGCTACGCAGACTTCCAAGTTAGGTATCTAGAACATGTAGCCAACCTGTGGGGCAGGCACGCCCTGCAAGCCCTTGCCTACTAAATTTACTAAATGTCTTGTACAGCAGTCTGTAGCTAATGCCCAAGCCAAGGGTGAAACATCCACAGCTGCTTATGCGGAGTTGGCAGACCCGTTCGCAGGACAACCTGCCGCAGCAGGAGTTTGTGAGCTCACTTGCAGGTGTAGCGCCCTTGAAGCAGGAGCAGCCAGGCGACGGCTGTTAACCAGCAGACGTGAAAGACACTGCTCACATCAGCCCATGGTCCCACCCTTTTGGACTTTGAGAACATGATGCAAACAGCTACCGCAATCGTATGTTCTTGTGGCAGGACATGCCTTTGTCGGCATCTGGCCGTTTGGCCAGATGTTTACAAGATCATTGGTAGCTTTTCATAGGAATCTTGTGCGTAATGTCTGAGCATCAGCCATGATCCAGCGAGTATATTTCATGCATCATCACGGCCGCGGCTTGGGGAGATGCCGTCGCTAGATGTCGCTAGTCAAGGCATGTCGAGGCACAGGCTGGGAAGTTTCGGCCTGAAGCTAGTAACAGCTAGTTAGGAGGTCTTCATAAGCTTCTTAGCTCGATGGTGTGGACAATGGGCACCCGTAGGGCTTCACGTGCAAGATTCACAGGCATTGATACATGCTGGATTTTGGCCTTGGTGACTGTCAGCTTGTGCAAATTATGGGCTGAAGCAAGTAGCTTTGGATTGATTGAAAGTCAAGCATGTTTTCACAGGCTGTACACTGACGGATGCCCAGCGTTGCTTTTAGTCACTCATGCTGCTCATGCCGCATCACTCCATAGATAGGGTTTGGCACTCGTGATTGGACGTGTTCGGACTTTTTGCTTTTCTTTTCACCGCCCTTTTCTGCTGTTTGTCATCACCACGGCTATGTAGCCACCAATGATAAATGCTTTGAAGCTGTGTATCGGCTAGGGAGTGGCACTTTGTATTTAGTTAGCCTAAGCTATGTCATGCATAGTTTCCGATTCGTCATCCATCTAGGATCGTAAGCTCTTGTTCCTCCAGCTTCTTGGTGGAGGCTCGTAAAATTGCATGGTGCCAGTATGTTGCAATGAGCACATGGCCAGAGTGGAAAGGTGCGCATGCTTCTGGTCCAGCTGTGTCTGTGGGCGTCCCTACAGTTCTTCCGGGGCTAGATGAGGCTTTGTATCGAGAAGCAGAGGAAAGGAAACATCGTCAACAGCTTCGAGAGCAGGAGGCTTTGTTTTACGCTCTCCAGCAGGCACAGCCAAAACTTGGCCGCACATCAAAAGCATTGTGTCACATCCGTTTGGAACGTGAGCTTCGTGCAGCATTCCAGAGTTGTCCACAGCATTGCTACATTGACTCTGTTGGACAAAGCTGCCAGCTTGCCATCCCGAGATCAAGACTCGGTGAGATACTGGAAGCAACGGACTTCTTATCTGCGGGCGAAGAGAGAGTGTTCTGTGAAAAGCTGAGCTTATTGTTGGACCGGGAAGAGACTGGAATGATCCGTTTCAGCAAGCTGCTTGATTTCTTGCTGACCGCTTTGGATGCAGCAGCAAGCTTTCCAGATCGGCCCTCTCCTTCATTGACGCCTCTGAGCTTGGAGGATGAATGTTTCAACCAGCTGGAATGGCAGTTGTCAAGGGCCTTCACGCGAATGCTCTCGAATCGCCACTGCCGTGCGACAACGCGATCATGCCACCGTCGGCTGTCAGATGCAGGGGCTGAAGGCCCTGGAGACCTCAGGCAACGTTTGCCACCTCGCCAACGTTTGCAGAGACCTTCATCTGCCGATGGGCGTGACAAGGCGGTTTCTCGTTGCCACCTACTCTACCACCAGGCCATCTTTGCTGCTCGCGAAGGGGCTCAACTCGAGGATGAGATCAAGCAGCTAAAAGAGCTTGAAGAGATGCGAGAATGCACCTTCCGGCCTCACTTGGTTGCCTCCTTGCGTCATTTTCGTCCATCCCCGCGGCCGCAGGTGCGCAACTTTGACTCGACAGTTGCTCGCATGAAAAATGCTCACAAGCAGCATCAAGAGAAGCGAGAGATGTGTACCCGAATTCCCAGCGGCGAGAACTACGAGAGGCTGAGAAGACTGGGAATGCAACCCTTCTCCTGTGCCTTCCGTGAGCAAAGTGAGCGGCCCCAACTTTTGGTCTATGTAGATGTTAAGGTGGCACCTGGCAGAACTGGTCGCATCGGAGTGCATGAGGGCGACGATTTGAGGTTGCTTGCGCGAAACTTTGCCAAGACTTTTCAGCTGGATAAAGCCGCTCAGGAGCGCCTTGAGCAAATGCTCCAGCAGGCTTATGAGCAGGTGCAGAAGCCTATGCAGTGCAGTTGAACCTCACTCAAAACGTGCTTGTTTCACACAATTTATAGCTTCAGACGGCCAATGCTACAGACACGCTTCCAGAGAGCTTGTGAGAATAAAACTGATTGAGCATCAATGCATAGACTAAGTATAGGCGACTAGCATGTTGCCTGGTGTCTGCGCTAGGACGATAGCCACGCAACAGATATTCCAGGATTTCTTCTGCAAGACTCAATTGACAATCTGGAACCTGCTGCACGCGTCACGTGGCAATGTGCGAGCATTTATCTTTGGCCAGAATCGCATCCGAGCAAAGTTCATAGCAGAGCTCACAGTAGCTGAACCTGAAATAGATAGGTAGAAAGTTCGATCGACACATTCACACATCTGGGACTGAGCAGTGAAAGGGCTTGTGTTGACTCTGGTACATGTCGTGCGTGCGATGTCTTCGTCAGCCGGCTACATCAGCCAAGAGGCCATGGTTGAACACACTTTGACTTACACAGCACCCAGCTTAACAACCATCCTTTTGTGAGCTTTTGCCATTAAGAGCCTTATTTTTTTTTTTGCAGGTGATTTGGAGCTTCGGGGAATCCCAGGTCTTGTGTTGACTATCTATGCGAACCTCAGCAAATACACAGCAAGTCAAACAACTGACAATGTGAACTTGAACATCAACACCCCTGTATCAGGATGCTGATGCTGAGTACTTGAAGAAGACCACGCAGGTAGGCGCGGACATTTGTTTTGTTTTGCCCACCCTTTCATTCGTTGGTGTACGTAGGCCAACATCCAGAACGGTTTCCCTCTACCTGGTTCCCTCCTCCAAGGCAACACAACTCCCCCTTAATGTAGCGTTTTGGAGATGCAACGGAGCACTGTGGTGTAAGTGAACTCTGCAAGAGTGTGTTGGCCACAGACCTTGATAATGATGCAGCCAGAGCAAAGACAGAATGAAAGGAAGCCGCAGGAGTACGTCCTGGCCAGCAGCGACAAGCTTTCAACGCCGGAGGTGGTTGGCTATGACTTCAACAAAGGCCACCGTTCCATGGTGACTTATCATTATTGCACTTGATGGGCAGGGACATGCAGAGACGGTAGGTGTGGACTACAGTGCCATCCTCTCCTCCTACAGCAGAACAGGCCGGCTCAGCTCAGCGGCTCAGCGGCCCAGCTCTGATGCGGTAAGCAGGGCCTCCATCGATTGTGCAGCTGTGCAGGCTTTCAGGCGACAAATCTGGCAAAGGCCTGTCTGCGGTAAGAATTCTGAAGAGCCTCTCCAAGAAGCTCCGCAGCTGGTAGGCCATCGAAGAGATCAACCGGATGCTGGATTGGTCTCTGGCAGATGATCCCTTGCCCGACGATGAGGCATAGGAAGCATGATAGCAAAGCACCGCTATGCCACTATGACTTTTTGGGGTAGGGGTCCCCTTGCTTGACATGATCTCGAAATTCGGATTGCACGTGCTTTTGGGAAAGTATGAATGCGCCCCGGCTCTCAAGCACTCAACCGACTCGATCATCATTGGGTTGCGGAAGCCCTGCTAGTCTTTTTTGCTGTTAAGGCACTTGAAGCCAGCGGCTAGTCTCGAAACAGAAGGAGGGATGTTCCTACCATCAGCAATCCTCGTCACCATAAGCCCACGGTCTAAACGGGTATTTGGTAGAGAATGGTTGGACTGCTGTGGTCAGAGCTCGAGAGCATGGGGACTCAAAGCTGCACGGAACTCAAAGATGTTTTTCACAACCCGCTGAGCAGATCTCATGCAGTTCGGCAGCTTGCAAAGGTGTTCAAACCTAGGAATCCTGGCCCGACAGTAGGCCTCATACATTCCTGCACACCCGCATGAAGCATCTGCAAAGTCTGAAGCACAACGCCCGAAAGCAGAAGGTCAGGGAACTTGAGCATCTACCCACAAACCCAAGAGGTGGAGGAGTTTCAGCTGCGGGAGGACGCTGCTGCATTTAGAGCTTCATGTTTGGTGCTAGCAGCGATGCCGAGGAACTTATGCATGTATTGAGTTTGGC